ATTTTATTTCTTATCTTTTGGAAAAATTGTCAATTTTAATTTTTTTCTTCAGCGCTTTTTCGTTTTTTTTTTTTTTTTTTTTTTTTTTTTATCAAAAACTGTTCGGGGCGATTTCGAAAAAAATCGACAGCAGAGACCAGGCTAGGGTCTAAATAAAAGGTGTAAGTTTCAAAGGGACCGTCTGTTTTTGTTTTTTTTTTCAACTTTTCGATTTTTCTTGCCTATTTTGATGAAACTCGCACCCTTTTATTGTGAGTTTCATCCAAATCGGCAAGGAAAATCGAAAAGTCGAAAAAAAAACAGACGGTCCCTCTAAGGGTTTGGGAGAGTGACCTCACACATTACTGGTTGGCCAGCGCATATGCACATCTTTTTTTCCTAACCCCGGAAGTCCCGGGTTTGGGAGAGTGACGTCACAGATTGCTGATTGGCCAGTGGGTATGCCACTGCCGGGCGCGATGGGTGCAGCGAAACTGTCCTACACGTCAGTCTAGACACGGCGCTGTAAGAATCACATTCAGAACGTGTATAAAATTTAACGACGTCTCTCTCTCTCTCTCCTCCCCCCCCCTCTCTCTCTCTTCCCTTCCTTCCTTCCTTCCTTCCTTCCTTCCTTCCTTCCTTCCTTCCTTCCTTCCTTCCTTCCTTCCTTCCTTCCTTCCTTCCTCCCTCCTCCCTCCTCCCTTCCCCCCCTCTCTCTATCTATCTCTGTCTCTTCCCCTCCCCCTCTTCCTCGCTCGCTCTTACTTTCTCTCTCTCTCTCTCTTTTTCATTTCCATAAATATGACTGCACAACCCCTGTCTGTCTTCCTCTCCCTCCCTCTCTTTCATTCTATCTATCTCTCACTCGGAAATAGATGGAACTATACAACCCCTACACGAAAGTGGTTAAACATTCAATCAAAATGTCAATATGGCATAGGCATATCTATTCATAAATTCATATAGGGTGAATATCCTAATTGCTTCCGAGGTCCGAGGACCCAGTATCTAGTTAACCTACCACGAAATAATAGAAACATCAATCTAATTACTTTCAAAAGGAAATTTAAGCTTTTTTGGAGTTGTCAATGGCATCTAATAATTAAATGAAAAGCCAAACCATGGACCTTTATTTCTAATGATGTGGCCATTTTATTTGATCTTATATTATAATTCCCCTACGAATAAACTTGATATTATCTTAAGTTATATTGTATTACTGTACACTGCCCTGCATACGAACAAAGAAGAACCATTGCAAATAATGAAATCGAGTGTTTTGACTTTGACTCTCTCTCTCTCTCTCTCTCTCTCTCTCTCTCTCTCTCTCTCTCTCTCTCTCTCTCTCCTCTCTCTCTCTCTCTCTCTCTCTCTCTCTCTGCTCTCTCTCTCTCTCTCTCTCTCTCTCTCTCTCTCTCCTCTCTCTCTCTCTCTCTCTCTCTCTCTCTCTCTCTCTCTCTCTCTCTCTCTCTCTCTCTCTCTCTCTCTCGCTATTCAGTCATTGATATTTATTTATATTTATTCTCCACGTATTTTCACTTTCCCCTGCCTGCATGAATTTAATGCCTGTTACAATATACATGTAGCAACAGCAGTACAATTACTCATCAAGTGATTACATGCAAAGCATTTTGACTCTTGATAATAAGAAATATTCCGTCATCGCACCTCGCTGTTCGCGTGGTAACAGCGTTTTCGAGCAGTGTCCGAATGCAATTATATGATAAATACTCGCTTTTTAAAGACCACAGTCAAAATAATATTCACGGATAATCTTAAAATATAACTCCTTTGACTTTCACATTATGTAAGGTATATACAACATATAAAACTTCATGCTTTTATGAAAGTAATAAGCTTTATATACACGAAGCTGAAGTCAACGGACTCTTTTCGGGACACAGTGTTTACGACTGGAAATGGTGCAAATTTACATGGTGTTTGCATTTTGTTTGAGCTTGTAAATTGTTTTTCTTTGAAGTACTATTGCAAAGAGATATGAAAGTTGTAAGAGTACAATAAGCACTAGTGACTGTTGCCTGTTTAGCGTTTTTTTTCCTGCTTTGATTAAAAATAATTTATTCTAACTGGCATCTGACCTAACGCTCAGTGAAGGGCCCTGGGCAAAGACTATATACAAAAGATGGGAAAGCATGACAAAAGCCTGTGAGCCCCAACGGTAGGCGGATAGTGTAATATCTGAACAATAGATGGCGTTGTGTACGCGATGTATCGTCGACTTTACTATCATAAAACACCACTAAACTCAAAATGGTAGGTAAGGGACTGTTTTCTTTTTTCATGTTTTATGCTTCCTGTTGTTTTAACTGTAGGCCTGCTTTCATTAATACTTTCATTGATGATGACTTGAAATCAAATAAAGTAATGTTTTACATAAATGTGTATTATATATCCTCGATTTAATAACAACAAAAATGAATGAAAAACATGAAGAATTTATTAATACCAAATGATTGTAGAATTTGTTGAACAGATTTGTTTATCTAATAAATTGTACAGTTTGTTGAATTTAAGTTCATATTCACTGCATTAACACCAGAGATATTTTTTGCAATATTTTTTTTATATAGTATTTAAACAATGGAATAATTTTATGATGTCATATAAATATACATACACATGAGCTAATTATTGATAAATGTTTTATTGTCATTTTCCGAAAAAAAACAGTGCAAAACATAATTTTAATATATGTAAAATTTCTTAATAAGAAAAAAGTTATTAAAGAACAGAATGATTATATAATTCTATATAGATATATAATTACATACATATAGAGTAATTCTTTGATAGATACATTTCAAGTTTCTTATTAAAAAAAAGACATTGTATAACTTCAACTGAAACTAAACCTTTAAAACTAGAACGAAAAAAATATAATCTATATAAATTTATAATCTCCCTTATAAACGCTCTCTTTTCTTAGTTACATATCTGAACAATAGATGGTGCTATATGAAGATTTGGACATTTTTTTTTCTTAATCGGTGTGATACTTGCTCTCCTATCTTTCTTATGTAGTCTTTTTGACCAGCTGATGGGCTCCGCCTCTAGAAACGATGACGTCATGAGCCCTTAACGTCACCAAACCCCGGATGCGACGAGTTCGCTGCCGGGTATTACCCCGGACGTCCCTGTTTAAATTACAAAGGAGATGACGGCTCTACATCTCATTCTAGACACAGTGCTGTGGGAATCCCATCCAGAACGAGTATAAAATCGAACTACTCTCTCTCTCTCTCTCTTGGCAATATGAATAACAACCCCCCTCTGTCTCCCTCTCCCTCTCTTGTAACAAATTGTAACAATTTGTAACAAAACAGGCATCCAAACCAGACATATAACTTCCGTGTAAGGAAATCGAAGGAACATCTGAATTGTCAATGGCATCAAATAATTAAATGCAAAGCCAAACCATGTACCTTATTTCTAATGATGTGGCTTATTTATTTGATCTTACTACGAATGACTTGATATCATTAGTTATTTTGCATTACTGTACACTGTTACTTCTTATGAACAAAGAAAAACCACTGCAAATAATGGAATTAATTGTTTTGACTTTGACTCTCTCTCTCTCTCTCTCTCTCT